GGATTCGAATGTTGGCATCTTGAATGGAGTTCTGTGAATACATTTATTGGGTCCTCGTAGATCGACGACAAGTCGAATGTCCGATTTTCCTTTAGGAATCACTAATAAGGAAGAACAAAAACTTTTGTCCATATCCATCGTCACTTTTTCGATTATTCCAGATTCACGTAACTCAAATAGCTTTTGCTTTGTCAACTCCTTAAATGCAGCTGGAATGTGCGTATAAACGTTTCTTGAAGGTGGCATCGAAACATCATAGCTCAATGTTACTGGTGGTATGTTGAACTTTGGAAACTCTTGTAATTGTGTTTCTTGAATGCTGTGTACGGTGACAAATTCACATCGCCAGGCTGTATCCGAAAATCCTTCCACTGGTACATCTAGTCCTACTGATAACAAACTATATCTGATAGCAGTATTGAAGCTTAGAAGGGCTCTTGTTTCACGTACTACATAGAATTTTTCTACAGTAACGGGTCTTTCATTCGAAACGAAGAGCTCCGCCGAAAAAGTGGCTACTACGTCAATAATTCCTTCTGATGCATATGCCTTAAGAACTTTATCTGATTCAAAACATAGCTCATGCAAATTACGCTTAGCTGTTTCATCTCGGAGGATAGCGTCAAATGATTCCAGAGTGATTGTATTGACTTGTGCACCAGAATCTATGAAAAACTGAATTTTAATTCCTGCGACATATGCCACAACATATGCGCTTTTTCTTCTGGTACCCAAGATCCTACTCTGTTAATATTTGCCTTTTCCATATCTGTTGATTGAGTTGGGATTTCCTGTAACATATAATTTATTCCCGTAAATCATTTGCCATGTATACGTTTATAAATTCTTATTTTAATATTCTTATTATTATTATTTTTTATTATTTATTATTATTTTTAAAAGAAAGTTACATTTAAATGAATAGTAAAATGCAAGTTATCACTAATTATCATGTTCTGTTACCTTTGATTGCTCGTTTTCATCTTCCTTTTTCTCAATAACAGCAATCTTGCTCGGAGGCTCAGTTTCCTCTCCTGTCCATCGACGTTTATGATGTTCCTGCTTCACTTGCATCGAGCATGCTCTTGCGATATGTCCTCGGCGGTTGCAGTTGCGACATACCTTATCACTATGAAAACAATCTGCTGGGGTGTGGTAGCTGCTCAATCACCTCCAGCATGATTGCACTGGCTTTTGATTTCTTGCTGATCCTCGAAAAAAATTTCCTCTACCACGGCTCCCGCTTCCCTTGGACGGTTCATAGTGACGTCGCTGTTCATAGTCGGTCGGTCGATGTGTAATTGCTGCTACTGTGGCCGACCTTTTCTGATGAAGCCTTTGATAGTCTTCTTCATTTTCAAGCTCTACTTCTCGAATCCGTACAAGGTCAATCAACTCGTTGAGGGTTCCTCCGTCAGTGAGCACCCGGTAAGCAAGGGTTCTCACACGGCTGTCCGTTGATCCTCTGGTAACAGTTCGGGAGATGGCTTCGAATTCTTCGTCCGATTTATAGTTACATAGTTTTGATGCTGCTGCCACTCTCTTCACGAATTGGATGTTAAGTTCATCGTTCCTCTGAACCGTGTTCGCCAGCTTACTCCGTTGAGAAAGGATATATGCTCGTGAACCGAAATACGCGTCCAATCGAGCAATAACGTTTGAATATGGAAGCATATTTTCGTCTGCCATTCCTGGCTGCGTGGTGATGCCATCAAGCAATTCGAGGAGCAATGGACCCGCCTTAATACGGAACAAATCAATCTTATTCGATTCATCTACAGCTTGCATAAGATTCATTGAAGCGTTTAAGACGTTTTTCCAGTGATCGTAAGCTCTCTTGCTTAGCTCGGTATCACCCGCAGCAGGCATACACTCCGGAATGTTCAGACCACCCAGAGACATTTTGTTCATCGTCATTAGTAGTGTCTCATTTCCAGTGATCTGCTCCTCACGCATCGTACTCGATCTTGCTTGGCCAAAATCATCTCTCATTCTCGGGCTCATTGCAGCCAGTGTACGACTTAACTCCTCTTTTTCCAATCGTGTCTTTTCCAATTCAGCTTTCATCTTCGACAATTCGTTCTTCAGTTTTTTTTCGCAACTTTTCCTTTCTCCAATTCCACTTTAGATGGCTCGTCCTGTTTCTTCGGAGGCTTCACCGGATCCACCTTAAATAACTCGTCCATCAGTTTCTTCGTGGCCTTTCCTTTAGTCTGTCTGTAAGTATGATTATTAATAATAAGCATTAGTTCCATCATAAAGCTATCTGTTTACGTCACTACGTCTTTTCAATCATAGTTTCGTCATTTATTCTTTTAAGGTTCTCCGCCATTTCTATCGGAGTCCTTTATTAAGCATGTAATTCTTCCTTTTCCATAAGAATATCATGCATATATTCCACCATTTCAATTGGAATATACTTTAAGTTAAGATCCTCCTTTCCTATAAGATCTCAACATTATAATATAGCTCTTTTGAACTCACCTTTTGTCGGGAGGCTTGATTTTGCTACCGTCTGCGCCATTGTCGTGATTTGGCATCGATCTGCAAGATTCCATGACTGGTATCGGCTGGTTTGTGGTTCTCTGCTAGGGTTAGCTCTGCGGGGTGCGCTCTGCTAGGGATAGCTCTGCGGGGTGCGCTCTGCTAGGATTAGCTCTGCGGGGTGCGCTCTGCTATGGGTAGCTCTGCGAGGTGCGCTCAGTTCGGCGTCCGAGAATAGAATGATTGACTCGAGCAACGAATATCGCTTAAATACCTAAACGATCTGTACTTCCAACCAATCAGAGGAGAGCAACTTCCCAGTGTTATAGAACCGTACTGGCAATCTATCAGAGGAGAAAATATTCTCAGTGATATAGAACAGCTTCTTTCCCTTTTTCTTTTATTAATCGAATGATGAATTTGTAATTCAATAGTTTTAGACTTATTTATTTTATTATTGGATTCATCCGTACCCTACAGGGGCCTACCCATTTTTTTAGGTGAATATTATTGTGGTTTCTGGTTTCTATGAATGCTTAGACTTTCTCAACGAAATGTGGAAGCTGTCAAAATCTGCTGTGACTTTTGAAACTCTTACCATTTCAGCACAGACAAACATACGTAACACTTTGAAAAAGTTTTTCTTGAAAACAAAGTATCTCAAAACATAGTATCTCAAAACATAGGTCCTCAGTAACGACATCTCTCTGGTTTCTCGCGGAAAACAAGCTTGCTCGCTAACTCACAAACAATATTGCATAAAACTTCTATAGAATGTATTGAAACGTCAAAGTGATCCGATGCCAGCGCTGCGGCGAGTAGTTCGCGAAACTGATAATATTCAAAGATACACAATGAAGAGTTACGTCTGTATGTCTGTGATTTCAGCATTAAGACCGAAATCGATAGCGAAATTTGAGAACGACGAAATTAAAATCGCTTGAGTCTAAATGTCGAAAAAATTTGCAATACATCTCCAAATATTGTGCGGTTGGTCAAAATTTCAGCTCATTTTGACGCAAAAATCTAAACCCTGACAAGTCAACCCTTGCAGCATATGACAACTCAACCCATTCAAACCGAACAAAAACAGTAATTGTTATCACACTTTAAAGTTTTATAATCTGTAAATAAGTTGAACAAAGAATAGACCAAATTAGTAAAAATTAGCTATATGTCCTTTTTTGCAACTGAAAAATATTTTAGTTTGTCGTTGATCCTTGGCATACGTTTTTGTTGTTTTAAACTCGCTTAAGTGATCACCCTTTATTTCTAATTGAAGAGAGAATAAACTATTTTGTACATTAGACTTGGGTAAATGTTGGCTTCACCCAACGGCTGTTTTCGGCAACCATAAATTAAACGTTAATATCACTATATGTGCCAATCAAAACACTTCGCTGGATATATTTATACGATTTCTTAGTCTTTCAGCTTCAATCTGATATCAGTTTTAGGACTGAGCAATCCCGTTATGCCATATTTTCCTTTAAATGAAATATGTGCACCGTACAAAATGCGGCTGATTTTGAGTTGCCAATAATAGAACAGCTGGTTAACACGCAATTCAAATGGAACGCCTGCCGATGAAAAAGAGGCTGCTGACAATAGTTACACTCACCTGAGAAGTTTGGAGCGTTGTAAAAACGTTTTCAAACAGTTTTGGACAATTATGTCGCTACATCCAAAATTAGAGCAATGTAAATGAAAATCATTAATTTCCCATACTAATTCACCAAAATCTCCATACAAACTTCAAATCATTTGCGTTACCTCTTAACCTTCATCAATCTTTACCATTTTTGGCAAAGGATCACATTTAGGGAATAATAATCGAACTGGAGGGTGGCCTATCAGAAATTCATCTCTTTTTTTAATGAAGCACCGTAATTAGCATACAAGTATAATGTATAATGGTTGACGTATAGGTTCATGGTTTGGATTAATTTTTTTATTTCAAGTTTATTTATTTTTAAATTAATTTTTGATTGATTTGTGGGACAGATTCTCGTGTGACAAAAGTAAATTTTTTTTTTCCGTTTTAATTACACCATGAAAATGTGTATCGTCCCTCTACTCTGTAACAAAATTTCCGGTGTTCTTAGGAGAGGGGTCAGAATTTGACATGAATCAAATATCAATATTGTATGTTTATAGGTACTAGACCCCTTGTAGGTAGATTAATCAGAGTTTTTAAGTTCTACATTCACTGAGATACGATCCTTATACCGAGACAGTTCAGAATGTAAACCTAATCTATAATGGAAAATTATTACGTCATATACCTATACAGTCGCATAAACAGAGCTGACTATTATTCGACTATACGTATGCATGCAAGGAGACGCAGCATACATTACTTTAAATCACCAGTTTGAAAGGTCCATGCATACATCTCAGGCGGTTCATCGGCAAAGCACACAATTCATTGTAGCTTTTCGAAGCTTTCAGCGGCCCAGACGTTACGCACCAATACATTTAATGTCGTCGTTTCTGTATCTATATTTCATCGTCAGAGCAATACCAGAGTCCGACTACATTCAGCTGGGAACGTTACGCTACGGAGTGCGGCTTTCGAATCCGAACCTGAATGCTGCGAGCGATGACAACGGAATTTCCACAAACAATAATGGAAGCACCCAACATTCCAGGCTATCTACTGATTCCTACGACCACCATACGAACGGAAGTAGCGTTCTGAGCGCCGGTGGCACCAGCAGCAACAGCAGTCGGGTCAACGATAGCTGCTGCTGCATCGGAGCCAATGGCATTGATATGCCCTGGAACAGTGGGTACGTGCGAACACGATTGCCTGTGCCGAGTAATTTGGGTGAGTAATTGCAACATTTTTAAAGAATACAGACTAGAAACATCGTTAAAAAAAAAACAAGCAAACAAACACCAATTAGCGACTGCCGAAAGACTAGAATCTCGGATATCGAAAAATCAATAAATTAACGGTCGCTTACTGTTATTTCAAAGAACCCCCTAAAACTATTAGCTAATCCTTTTTTCTACGTAGCTCCAGCTGGATATCGATCGGAACTGTAGTTAATCAACCAGTTTATAATAGCAATGTTTTTCTACCGGTCATTTATACTTCTAAACAAATCCGGTAGTATTTAGCAAATGCCAACAGATTTCCCCCCTTTCATACGTGTGCGTTTGGCAGTGCCAGTGGTGTGGTGAAAACTGGTAAAAAATCACGAAAAACTGAATGAGATCAATGTCGAAGACGGAGTAAAGCAAAATCGGAAAATCTAAAGACCAAGCAGCAACGTGTGTGCGCGCGTGCCTCATATGCGCTTGTATCTTAACTAAAGAAAATTCACAGGGTGATTCAATGCTATTCTTCTGGTTCAACTTCTATTGAGTTGGAAAATTCGTACACGTTGTGGTGGTATAGTACGACTTGTTATTTCGACGACGATGAACTTCAGAGAGGTGATGAAAGGTTTGGTAGCACCCTGTTGTTTGAATTTACTAATATCTTACACCAACTGAAATCATTGCAGTTCACTGTCTATTGAAGTAGGTGTATGGTTAGTGCACGCTAAAACCTGGACACCTTTCAATAAGTGTTTAAAGTGAAGTGTTTCACTTTTGGTTCTTATGGTTCTATGACGCACTGGCCTATATCCCGATACCAAAATGCCGGTTTTAAAAGGCTTTATCGGTACCTTTAGAGGATTGTTTTCCCAATTTCAAAATTGCGGATTGTGGATTGAGAGATCACCATAAATGGTTAAATACTTGTAAGAGCTTTTGCCAACAACTAGTTCAAACGTCAGTTTAGTTATACGCCCTTAAGTTAATAAAGCGACAAACTAGCTCAAATTTTAAGATAACAGCACTAGTTGTGAATTAACAAGGTGTATATAATCTGATAAAACCTAAAAAAAACTAAAGTCTGGAAACTTACAGGTTTTTCAAATTATCTTTTGAAGCAAATGTTTAAGAATAGATTATATTGAAATACACCATAGAACCTTTTGAGAAATTTCAAACATTTCTGTCTTCCTCGTTATTTACTTTAACTTTTTGAACATAATAATTCTAAAATGGCTTTATCTTCCGAAACAACAATACATTTTGATGCTTGAATTGTTTTTGTTTCAGGCTCTAGAAAATGGATAATTTATACAAACACCTAATAAAATCAAACTTAGAGTAATCTTCAAGAATCCAGATGTGTAAAAAAGTAAGGTCCTTGCAAAAGTTTCAATACTTAAGGCTTTTAATAAATATAGTGAAGAAGTCTAAGGATTATTTCAAGGGAATTGAGATCAGAATTCCAAAGGAAGAATTATTAGAAAAACTAGAAGTGAAATCTAAGGATTATTTTTAAGTTAGTTCTGAAGAACTACCAATTCAATGTGAAATGTAAGGAAAATTCCAAGGTAGTTTTGACTATGGGTAGGATTCAAAGTATATTTTCAAGAGAATTCTGAGAAGGATTCAAAGGTAATTCCAAATAGAGAGTTATGACTAATGTTGAGGAGAATTCTAATTGATTGGTAAGAAGAACTGAAAATACATTCTTAGGAGTACACCAGAGTACTTGTGTGAAGAAATCCAAGAGAAGAGGGAAAAATAAAAGAGGTATCTAAAAATAATTCTAGCAATAGGAGTATTTTCATGGAATTTCAAGGAAATTGTCATCAAAGTTTTGTGATGAATTTCAAAGGAATACCTGAATTGTGACGCAATTCCCTTGTTAAATTTAACTCGTAGTTAAAAGTGACAGTTCGAAAGTTACTTCACGTAATTTTCAATGTTCGAAAATTTGAATAGCTGGGTTATTTGATAACTTTCGATCCGTCACTTTTAACTACAAGTTAAATTTAAACCGGCAATTAGGACACATCCTTAGGAGAGTTTCAATGCTATTCTGTAATCATGTTTAAAAACTCAAATAGGAGTTCATAGAGAATACTGAGGAGCATTGCAAGACGTATACGGTACCACTTCAAGAGAATTTTTGGCGGAATTTAGAGGGTATTCCGAAAATAATTCCATTGGAATTTTAGGAGAAACTTTGCAAAGACTAAGGATGGTTTTATTCAGGACAATTTTTAGAGGAATTCCAAGGTAATTCAGCGAGAATTATTACGAGATTGCATAATGAATCAAAGAGCGAAAATTTCTAGATAATTACTGAGAAAGTTATATGGGGATACCAGAAAAAATTCTAAGGATATTTTGAAAAGATTCTAATGAAATTCTTGAGAAAATTCTGAAGAAATCCAATGAAACTTCAAAATGTATGCTATTGTATCTGGATTGAAAAAAAAAAATCAATATCTCAGTGGAGTTTTTTTGACATGAAGATCACTATTCCGGACTTGCATGAATTTTCACGATTCAAAACCAACTGAAATATTCAAAATGCCGGACTTCGAAATGTTTCTTTAAGATTTCAAATTTAAAATAAATCTAGTGCCTGGTCGCGAAGTTTTTCAACCCGAGATATGCCCGGATCGGGAATCGAACCATGCCGATTGCTTTAAAGCTACGCCTCTACTGGCTGAGCTAAGCGAAGCGAAATCATTATAAGAAAGTTTGATCTTCATACATTTTCAGCTGAGTTCATTGTTTTTCCTAATGTCCGAAATTTACTGTGCTCACGTCGTAGTATTCAAGAAAATATCACATCTGCGTGTATTTATTTTCCACCAACATACGGACAGCGAACACGAAACGATGAAAATTTAAATTTTCGTTTTCTATCTTTCCAGCTAAGAATAGAAAATCGTCGCCCTCAACATCAACATCATCGTCTTCATCGTCATCCTCTCATCGGCAGCTGCATCAAGCTCAGAAGCAACCCAGTACACAACAAGGAAGCAGAGAAAAATTGCAGCACGGTAACGAGTCAACAACGGCGGTTTTATCGAACAATTGCAACAACAATAACAACAGCACAGATGCAGGTGTTGATAAACACAATCAACATCGCGAATCGTCTCCTGCGTCAGTTTCAGGTGTGTGCTGTTACAGCAACAAATTCGGTAGTGCTTCCAACAAGAATGCTAAAAATAATAATCTAGTTAAAGTGAGTAACAAGTACTCGGACAGCAAGAGGCTGAAGATAGTGAATAACAAAGGTGAACACAAGGATACTGTGCCGTACGATGAAAATCGAACTAGTAGGAATCGGAACGGATTCGGTTATGGTGATTCGCGCAATTTGAACGAAAAGTGGTCGTCGGGTAGTACCGTATATGATGCCGTGAGTAGTGCTCAGGAACATGGCAATTTTTCTTCTACGATCAGTGGGAAAGATCCACTAAGCGGCAGTGAAGTCAGTGTGAAGCAAAACGATGGCGATGATTTAAATTTAAATTTCAGAAACGCACAGCAGTCAAAAGAGCCACGGTTGAAAGATGTGAACATAAATAATTTTAAGAAAAAGAATACGTCGTATGGTGTGTATTTTGGACCGAATTCAAGTGTGGGTCGGACGGGAATTAACAACAAAAATAATATCGGGAAAAATACCACCACAAGGGGCGATGATATTTGTACAGACGAGTTGTCCTCATCTTCGTCGTTGTCGCCTAGGTCACCATCACCTTTGCCTCTACCACCACCAACAGTAGCAGATTCGTGGTTGTTTAACGATCGCGTGAAGCTAACACCACCTTGCTCACCGATACCGTCGTGCTCCGGTTCATTCAACAAGAATTCGTCACCTTTCGAGTTAACCACGCGATCGGAATCATCGCCGATCGGATTTTCACCACCCAGCACGCCTCATCATACGAGGGTGCGAGCTTTCAGTGATTCAAACGGCTGCTATACAAACTACATCGATGAAAACAATCGATTCCGTATAAATAGAGCAGCCGTTCATAAAAACACCTACGACTTCGATGGCAAACAAAATACTGTGAAAAATCGCATCAACCCGCAATCAAAAAACGATATTCTTTCTCACAGGGTTGAGGAGCTTAGAAAAAGTTCACTTCCTGTAATAAATCACGCGAATATTTTTCGAACACAACCATATCCCAAATTTTCCTCCGATATTATTAGTACAAAAGGCAATGGTCGCTCAGATGATCCTTCCTCGTCTGTCGTGATTTGCCAAATTACACCAAAACTACCGCCTCGAGGATCTGCCGTCAATCAGACTAATGCCGATGTCCGATTGCAGTCACTGAGCAGATACTGTGCTCAGAATTTGAATTCAAATGCCAACAACGATAGTTCCAGTGCAACCGAATTGGAGGATTTTACCTTCATCGATTCATCGGATATTTCATCCACTGGAGACGACGTTATAACTGTGATCAATGAGGAAGAATACCGTGAATATCATAAGTTTTTATCGATACCAAAACTCGACGGATATTCTGAAGAATCATGTCAGAGTGGTTGTGATAGTGTCCAGAACACCAGCAACAACTATGGCGGATGTTCGTCGGATGAATTGAGTAGTGTGTGTAGTGGTAGTGATTCAGTTCCAACATCAGTAGTAAACAATTTCAAGGAAGAAGCAAAACGGAATTTCCACACGGTGAAGTACAAAAAGTGTAACGTGACGAATTTCAAATCAAGTGCCAGTGCTAGTGGAAATCAAGCGGGTTGCGGAGATCCATCTCCAGTTGATAGTGAACAGAACGTTGCTACTGTCAGTGGGCACAGCGATAGCAATAACAATCAGCGTTTAAGAAACACCGACGAGCTTAAATATAATTCATCTAATAATAGCCACGAGGAAAACGACAGATCAAGTGGTGGAGCAGAATCGACCTCAAGAGGTCGGAATTCTATGCAATTCGGCTTCAATAATATTTCACCGGATAACTCTTCTAGCAGTTTAAATTGTTTCGGGAGAAATCAGCTGCATGCCAGGACATCGCCTGAGAAGTCGGTGAGTTGTGAATTGCTATATCTTATTTGTAACTATTGAGCATTTGTTTAAACCTACTGTCTCCTGACGTGCCATCCTTTACCGTAAAGTCCCATAATTCTGCGCAGTACTTTATTATGCGCTTTTGGCCAAAATTTTGCAGAATATAGTGACTTTTACTGTATATTTTTTCCATACACAAGTGAACAATACCTATCACATCTTCATCTGATAATGAAGATAATATTCCCGCCTCTTAACCCTTTAACGGTTTGAGCTGGACGATTTATCTTTGAGATAATTAAGTTAAACATTATAACCAGATTTGTAAAAAAAAAAACGAATTGGTTACAGTAACAGATATAAATTCCCTATACAATTTACAATTGCTTCACAGCAATGTAAACATGAAACAGCTTTAGGCTCCCATCTCTTTTTGCAACGTTTTATCCACCTCAAATGTTCGCAAATACTCCCAGCGATCAAGCATAATCTAACAAAGCGTCCTTTTACACTAGCAACGCCGTAATTTAATGCTATGTATTATAATTTTCAGCAATGTCAGGATTTTTAAGAAACCTCTCGATGATCAGCCAATTACAGGCTTCTTCTAAATAATTCAGTCCTTTTTATCTGTAACATGCGCCCGAGCCTCAAACCATTATAGCCTAACATCAAACATTAATAATCCATTATCACCATCGTGCGTGACGAACATCAATTAAAAAAGTCGATGTGATATCTTCTTCTTTCGGCGTTTATTACGTCTCCCTGGGACTTAATGCTGGATCTCAACTTAGAGTTCTTTGAGCACTTCCACAGTTGCTAACTGAGAGCTTTCTTAGCCTGTACCATTTGTTGCATTAGTGACTCTATACCCAGGGAAGTTGAGAAATTTCCAAACCGTAAACTTCCTAGACCTGACCGGGAATCAAATCCAGACGCCTCCAGTGTGGTTTTGCTTAAGAGTTGCGCCTTTAACGACTGAGCTAAGGGAAACCCATCATGTGGCATCTATTCATATAAAATAATCCGTTAGAGATAACTACGGCAAGATACATAATTTGTCAATTCATATAAAATCTTATTAAATAAATGATAAAAAAGCAGTTTTCACATGTTAAAGGCAGTGTTTAAATTCCGAAAGTATTGTTGCCCGCTGATGTGTCTAGGCATCAAATTGAAAAGGTTGATACCTCTGAAAAACATTGAAGTTTGTGAAGCACAAGTGGTATTCTTATTGCATCCGCGTTTCTAGTATTACATTTATCATATCACACAAATATCGAGGCAGCAAACCGTTAACTGCTTTAAAAATGAATGTCATAGTTAGCTCCCGATTACTTTTTCAAAGGGACGTGTCTGCTTTTGTAAATAAAGATTCTTTGTTTGCAAAAGCAGATACGTACCTTGGATGCAATTATTTGCTTCACCGACAAACTGAGGGCTTTGCAGTGCATCACAGTTGAGGAAAACGCTGTAATAGTGATAATTTATGTTTCATATTGGCCACAAATAAAATGCAAGGGCAAAAGTATAGCTGTATTTTACAGCAAACAGTTAAATCATTTTTCAAACGACAAATTGCAAAGATCTTGGCATACTTTCTTGATTACATTTTCAATGTGAGAGTTAAACATAAATTTGCCATCAAAAAACACGCCAAGATATTTAGTTTCCCAAACGCTATCAATAGTCTCACCATCAGTTACAACAGAGACGTTATCATTTACTCGATTTGATAAATTATCATTAATTAAGTACTGCTTATTTTATTTTATTTCAATTGCTTATACTTCAATCATCTGTTTAGAGAACGAAAATTTTAATTCAAGTGTGAAACGGCATCACTGCATGCCATTAATAAAGGGGCCCTAACACATTTCGCTAGGGCATTCCAATGTTATTCCTAACGGGACTGGAAACAGCATAATTACAAACAGTACTTTGAGTTATGTTAGGCAAATAGCTTTAGAACCATTTGTATGCAGTACTTGTAATTCCAAAGCTCTTGATAAGGGCCTAAAAATTGTTTCACTTCAGATAAAAAAACAACATCAATTATATATTTACGCTCCGAGCTATCTTTCCATTTTGCTAACATCAATTTCAGCGTGGTTTCACGAGAATTACCCTTCCGATATACCTATTGTTCTGGTATCAACAGAGAGCTACTATTTGAATACTCCAACAGCTGACCTTTCACAATAGGTTCTAGAATTATCTCTAATGTGTGCAACATATTGATGAGACGAAACTCTTCGACTTTAATCGATCCAGCAACTTTTTGATAAATAGGATTATCAAAGGATTCCTTCCACAATTGGAGCACATGGTCAATTTGCAATGATTTATTAATAAGGTCCTGCAAGATGTGACCAAAGACCAATTGAAGCAATCTTGAATAACTCTAACATTAAAATTATCTACTCCAGCCGTTTTTTTTTTCTAATGAAAAGCGAATATTTCTAAGCCTTATGTGTTTGGATGAAAACCTTCAAGTCTTAGATTAGTTTTAACCGATTTAACGTTCGGTAAAACTTTGACCTTCATTTTAAACCGTATTTTGCTCAAACATAATTTCAAAACACATTAAACCCTGTTCAAGTGAGTCAATCTTGTAATTGAAGGGTTGATTTCGTTTTAAAGTAGCTTAAAACAATTGAATTTTTTACCGAAAGATTCAATTGTTAAGATTTCGATTAAAATAACCGAAGTCGGCGATAATTTCTAAGTGAACTCAGCAAAAACTTTTGAATTTAAAAAAATGGTGATGTAAACATTCTTTCACGTAAACTTGTATTTCATATCACGCAAAAGAGTTATTGTAAGCAATGTCAAAAAAGCGCTTTTATATACAATATTTGCAACATTCCATGAAATGTCTCAAAACTTTACACGACTTTTAATGTAAACTTATATGATATGTGACGCTCCATTAAGGTGCATAATATTGAACAGAAGCTTACACTATTTCTTCAAACTGTGTATGCTGTAATAAAGAATTCCAAATTTTCCATATCTTTAGGAAAATTTACTTTAGGCAAAGCATGTTTGAAATTATCTGAGTAATATAAAAAAAAATGATTGGAAAATTTATGTGCAACAGATATTAAATTGAAATATTGTTCGGTCGCGCTGTGACGTCACGAAGTGTTTTACTTCTAGTAGAATTTATAATTTACTATATTCATATCTATTGATTGGTGATGATGATGATGATGGATATGACTGGACGATTTAAAAAAAATTATTACGATTATTTTAACCAGGTGAGCAAACAAAATCGATCTGGTCACAGTTACAGATATTTTTTTTTCCTTGATTTGTTTTATGTCGATGCTACTGACGCCAGCACCCACATCTGGACCCTACCTATCTACCCATCAACTCATGAACCGGGGACCAACAACCCCCGCCTCAGAACACCCCGGTGGTGCCGACTGGGATTGAACCAAGGCCAGCTGGGGTGAGAGGTAATCACGCTTACCACTACACCACCGGCGCCGCTGCAGTTACAGATATAATTTCCTCTATTGTTTAAAGTTGCTTCACAGCGATATAAATGTGGAAAAGCTTAGGCACCTATTCATAAGTATTACAAGTAATCAAGAGTTAATGAACAATTTACAAAGCATCATATACACACGCAAACCAAAAATCTATTACAATGAATGTTAGTTCCGTTTCCTATCATCCTCTGTTCATGAACATCGCAACGAATGTTAGAAATTGACCATGCAGGCGATGTAATGGTTTTTTGTCTTTTTTATTTCGTTTTCTATCTACGCTTTCGACTATACCATCAGTAAGCTTGTAAACCGACGCACATTGTAGAACATTGTAGAACGACGCACACACTTGCCTCGAATCTCACCAGCAGAAAAAGCGTACGAAGTCGAGTGTGAGCGGAAATGAGCTCTTCATGTTTGTTTTTAGGCTATACATATTCAGAAACATGTAGAGAGCAATGGAGAAAGCATAGGTCTGATAATCGCAACGTTCATGGTTCGAGTCCAGTCGACAATCTGTTTCCTATTTTTTTTTCGACATAACTAATTATCTCACTAATACACTCTACATTTTTCGGTCTCCAATTTTCTTGCATTGGACCGCAGCTAGGTATATCGCATCTTCGGTTCATGCGGTCTCAACTAACATCCTCTGATGATGAATCCCACATAATTGTAAGCGAATCTTACATCCCCTCGGTTGGGTGTATTAAATCAAATATTAAAAAATTAATCATCACCATCGTGGTGAACAAAATAGTTTTTGCAGAGCTACAATAATTATAAAAAAGTAATTACACTGTAAGCAGCGTAAACACATTATTGTGTAAAATTTCACATGTGTAAACTCAGCAAACGTCAATAGAAGAGTATTTTTTACACATTTTTCAATAACGGTTTTTAGCGGCGCCGGTGGTCTAGTGGTAAGCATGATTACCTCTCACCCCAGCAGGCCTGGGTTCAATCCCAGTCGACGCCGCCGGGATGTTCTGAGACATAACATCTCTAATCGCGCCAAGGATCACGCCTTCGTTCGGAAGGGAAGTGAAGCCATTGGTGCCAGGTTCATGGGTTGATAGGTCGATATGTAGGGTCCAGGTGTGGGAGCTGCCTCCCTGGCATTGGTGGTAGCATTGGTGCTCAGCACGGAAAACAAATCAAGGGAAAAAAAAAACAAAAATCAGTATGGAGCAAGCAAGCGAGACAACGGAAATTGATTATGATTATTTTTCTAAACCTTAGCTATGAAAATAGTATAAATCACCTACCCTCTAGCATGTCCAGTTTGGACCGTAGTTCCTCCAATTTCCTGCTTTTATTCACTGAAAATTTTACGCTTAGCAGGATGCAGCAAAGTTTGAAGTTTTTTTACTCATTGATGAGTATAAAAATACGCATTTTTTGACTGGTACTACATTCTTAAAATGTGTATTTTTTCACACATTTTAAGATCTCCGAATTTACACATTTTTTTGTCAGCTGCATATAAATATAAAAAAAATGTGTATT